ATTCCTAGTCATCAACCCAATAGCCGCCTCAAAATCCTGATCGTCAAGGGCACTTGCAACCAATTTGCCCCTTTCGGTATTATTGGCGAAAACGACTAGAAATACTGGATATTCAAAGTTCTTCCCAACAAACCGCCCAAAAGCTCCGGGGTCGTTGAACTTGGAATCACGGTCAAACTTGCTAGGCATTAGATACTTGCTAAAATGAGAAGAGGTAGTAATGAGAAGAAAAAAACTGGATACCTCTCCATAGTCGCATTTTTATAGCCCATTGCCTTTTGTTTTTTCTCCAAGATGAACACTCACTGCGGTGTATGTCTTCAAAGTCTCTTCTAATATATGGAATCTGAAAGCAAAGCACGTCTACTCGGAAACCGCCTCTTTCCATTTCTCATTCCCCTTTAGCAAAGGCATTCTTTTTACGAATCCGAGAAACTAAAAAAAAAGTAGGCATAGCAAAAAGATGCCCACGATCGGGATCGAACCGATGATCTTCTGTTTACAAGACAGACGCCGTACCACTTAGCCACGCGGGCATTGGCTACCAAGCAAGCTACAGAGCCAACTTCTTTTCACTGCAGAATCCGTAGGACTGATAACCGTAGCAGTTACGTTTGTAGAAATAGGTAAATTTTTGGCTATTTTTTATTGATACCCTGGCCATCTCTTGGCCAAATACAACAAGCATTGCGCCCCTAAATCAAACTTAAAGGCTATAAATGGAGCTGTATACAAGCGCATTATAAAAACTGAGCATGTCAAGGCTGCATATCTTAAAGAGGCATTTTTGTAGAGAAGAAAAAAAGACTAAGAAAATGAGCATGAGATCGTAATAAATCAACTGCTATCTTGCGAAAGAGCTCGGATAAACTTCTAAGAGTAACTTCATGCTCTGAAGGCAGGTATGGTCAAACTCACTAGTAGGTCTTCTTCATTATCGACAAAACAGTCTAACACAGAATTGCCACCAGCACTACTGGCCCTATGGTCTATTGAATCTTGAATAGTTCCATCAACATCTTCCTCAAATAGGTTATGATACACTTGAACTATAGTGTTGTTTTGGTAAATTATCTGCGCATTATCCTCAAAGCCACTTATCTGATGTAGTGCATAGACGCTTACTGAAGGGTCATACCTGTTTGCAAGTATATTAATGTGTTCGAATAGTTTTTTCATTTTACCATTGTCAAGGATGGGAGTGCAAAATAGTAGAATAGTAGTGTCTTCATTGAGATTCTCCAACACATCTATTTCTCTGGAATATCTTTTGTTTCTAAACCCTGTCACCTTTTTGTCGCTAAATTTGAAGAATGAAATTAGCCTTTTAGTGCCCATGTTCGTATCCAAATCTAGTATAACAAGCAAAAGTTGTTGGCAAGGAAAAAGCGATGGATAGTAGATGAGAAAAAAAAAAGATATTTCGTTCGACTGTCCAGCCCAGCCCTTCTTATATTCTTAGCAGGGCAGCCCCGTTGGGAGCAAAACCACCCTTATTCTTTGGCCGCCTGAAGTCAGCTTGTCCACTTTATATCTGAAATGACCAAAAAGAGTGTCGAAAAACGGCATTCTCAAGTCTGAAAAGGAAAACGTGCACACTTCAACCCGATGGGCCCTTTGGAAAATGTTTAAAGTCACAGACAGCAGAAAGAACAAAGATATCTTTTGAGGCAAGTCTCAAGGTTTGCTTCTTTTTTCAAAAGCTAGCCTATCGAAGCAAGGCTTTCGCGATAGGAAGCTGCCTTTTCCGTTTTTGCTCAAGGCCGACTTTGACCCTTCTGAGTGCGCCGACTGTGGGCCTTCCGGCTTCCCCTGTCAAAGTCCCAGTCAACACCAAAGCACCGTTGATTGAAGGCCTGTGGAGTTCACCAGTGCTTGCGCAAAATTGCAGAATAGACATGTGTTGTAATGTTTCTGAAGTTAGATTGTCATGCTAGGCCTGTATTAAAAGCTGCAAGAGCGGGCTTAGAAAAGGGCTGCCGACACAGCCACAGCGAGCAGAGCAGAGAGCGACATTGCTGGAATCATGCCAAGCGCACCGCTAGTGCTGGACCCTGACTCGATATCCGATTCGGACTCTGACTCGGTCTCTGATTCATCGACCTCTTTGTCGCTGCCCTTGCTGCTGCCAGATGAAGAGCCTTTAGACGTCGATGCCGAGCTGTCAGTCCCTGATTTGCTTCCACCCGAACCAGCGCCGTTGCCCAAGGGGGGGCTGTTCGAGTCCGAGACACTAATGGACACGCCGTCTCCAATCGATGGGCCACCAGCACTAGGCAAAGTAGGTGTCGGGGTAGGCTGGGCAGGGCCGGGGCCGCCGTTGTTCTCGTTTCCAGGCGCAGGTGCAGACGCAGACTTTGAGTCGCTGGCAGTAATTTGCAGAGGATCGCCGCCAATGTTTCCCTCATTAGCTGGAGGGTCGATGTTGCCGTTGCCGTTACCGTTACCGTTGCCGTTTCCGTTGCCATTGGAGGGAGGGATGCTGGGAGCTGGCGTAGGCGGGGTAGAAGAGGGAGCGCTAGATGTCGGGGAGGCAGGAGGGGTGGTGGGAGCAGGGTGGGAGTTGGAGTTGGAGATAAAAATGGGCTCGCCGATTTCACCAGCATCAATGTTTGGCTGGCTAGGAGGAGTGGGTGTGCTCGACTCGCTGGCAGAGGAATCCGAGTTTTGAGCATTGACTACTGCGGCGGCCAGCACAGCGCAGAGCGTAAAAGTGGAAACGGAAAACTTCATTTTAAAGTGTAGGGATTCGAGGAATAGGCGTGTAAAGGTGTTGGAAGAAGGGGGCGAGTCTAAAAGTAAAAGGAAAAATGCGTATCAAAAGCAGAAGAAGGGTGTTTTAACTGAGTCCACCTTTCTCGTGTGAAGGAAACCTGCTCTAGGTCCAACAAAAATAGGAATCCGAGAGGGATTGGCACTCTTTTGGCGGTCTCTTTCAAACAGCCTTCATGCAATTT